TTTTAAAATACAAATCTTAAAACTCAAATATTGAGAAATGATTAATAGTGCTTTATTATTTACAAGTCAAATACCATTAATGACAAGACTTTTAGCCCAGTCTAAACCTCCAAAATCCCAAGTGTTCATTAATATTTGATCCAATCAAATTCTAACTAATCCAAAATCTAAATAGTAGGCATCTATATATATAAAAGCCTAAGTGACCATTACAACAGGTCAACCGAATGACTGGTTGCTATGATGTGCACTGACCACCAGGGGGCAGACACTCAATGCAGGAGCTGCCCCCTGGTGATAAGTGCACTCCCACAGCTAACCTCCCATGGTCCTTTCCCCTGACCGGCAGCCCTGATTGGCCCAGATCAGGACTGGGCGAGACAACCTGGATCAGCCCCGATCACTGGCCAGGCTGAGGAACCCCACCCGTGCACAAATTCGTGGACTGGGCCTCTAGTTTAGTATAACAAGATTTAATTCATAGAGAAGCTCCAGAAATTCTTCTGAGCCATTTTTAAAATGGGTTTTTCTGGTTACTGTGAAATTTAAACATGTTCAAAACTAACAGCAACACTAAAAGGAAATGTAAGTTCACCCATAATAGCTTACGTTTCATCCATAATAGCTTAAGTTTCTAAAATGTGAGTTTTTATTTAAAACTAAAATATACTTTGATTTCTTCAAGAAAGGCTTTCAGAACCAGTTTGAAACAAGAGATCATTTGGTTTCGTTAATGTTTTAAAATAAAAGCAAAAAGACCATTTAGTACAACATCTGTACATATATAATTACAAAGGTGTGTCTTTTTTTTAAAATATATTTTATTGATTTTTTACAAGAGGAAGGGAGAGGGAATAGAAACATCGATGAGCGAGAAACATTGATCAGCTGCCTCCTACACATCTCCTACTGGCAGCCAAGGTACATGCCCTTGACCGGAATTGAAACTGGGACCCTTGAGTCCGCAGGCCGACGCTCTATCCACTGAGCCAAACCAGTTAGGGCACAAAGCTGTGTCTTAAGATAATCCTTTTTAAAAATATGTTTTTATTGGTTTCAGATAAAGGAAGGAAGAGGGGGAGAAAGAGGGAAACATCAATGATGAGAGAGAATCACAGATTGGCTGCCTCCTGCCCACCCCTACTAGAGATCCAGCCCGCAACCAGGGCATGTGCCCTGATCAGGAATCAAACCAGTACCTCCTGGTTCATGGGTTGACACTCTACACCGAGCCACACTGGCCGGGCTTAAGATAATTTTTAAAGTAACTTAAAATAAATCATAAGTACTAGAAGCACACTGTTGAAAACTATTTTGGTAACTTACGTAGCCTTTCCTTAGTGTGTTTATCGATAAACACAGGTAAGGAATGTATGGAAAAATAGCTACAGGTCTAATGTAGACAATTTTACTTGGAAGTGATAGAGCCATTACATCTGCAGTCCTTAGTCTGAGGGAGTCCTCCTGTGGTTATAAAATTGAGAGAATTTACACAATTGAATTCAGAAAATCAACAAACTTAGAGCATTGTTAATGATTTCTAAAAATACCTCCAGATGGCCTGTGATTATAGTTTATGACCACCAGAGATATGAAGTCTCTCTCTCAAAACATCATGACTTCTGAGCATGGCTAAGCACCTTCCACCAGACTCTTCTCATTAACTCCCTTGTGGAGATTCTGTAAGTCATTTGGCTAATACATCAAAACGGTCTTTATTCCACTGACTTCAAATTACAATAGCAACTAATCGGAGGGAACAAAGCCTAGAGTTTAAGAGCATGAACTTTGGAACCAGACTACCTGAGTTTGAGTTCCAAGTCAGCCCTGCTTCTGCACGCTAGGTTAGAAATGTAACATGGCACCTAGAGTTCATACTACATGAATAGCACATGCCCGGGTTGCGGGCTCGATCCCCAGTAGAGGGCGTGCAGGAGGCAGCCGATGGATGGTGTTTCTCATCATAGATGTTTTTCTCTCTCCCTCTCTGAAATGAATGAAAACGTATTTTTTAAAAATAAGGCTGTTGCCGAAACCGGTTTGGCTCAGTGGATAGAGCGTCGGCCTGCGGACTGAAAGGTCCCGGGTTCGATTCCGGTCAAGAGCATGTACCTGGGTTGTGGGCACATCCCCAGTAGGAGATGTGCAGGAGGCAGCTGATCAATGTTTCTCTCTCATCGATGTTTCTAACTATCTCTCTCCCTTCCTCTCTGTAAAAAATCAATAAAATATATTAAAAAAAAAATAAGGCTGTTTTCTGAACGGATCTTGTACTACAGGTTGTTATCCTGCTTCTGATAAAAGCACGCATTCTAGTCACGTGAGGATATACAGTTGATGTGCATGCTACGCTCTTTTCTGTTTGCGTAGGGGAAGGGTGTGGAGGAAGTTCTCCAATCAGCATTTTACTTCATTAGCTTATGTCTGTCCAGAGAGATACTTTTTTCTATGCTGGTGACATTTTAAAATAACTTAAATCCTAAAGATTTGCTAGATTAACAAGTCTCTCAAAGTGCCAGTACATGACACCTATTTGAGAATGAACACTCACACACATTAGAAAACTATTTAAAACCCTGAGCACCTTTAGCTTTACCTTCCAGAAGCTAAGAAGCAATGTAAATACTGTCACTATCTTTAAGGGGCATTTTGACTGAAGGGGTACATTTGCCATCTAAGAGAGGTTCAAGTTATTCAAAGAAGACTGAACAAGACACCTGATTTTAGGTAGAAAAGAGGAGCAGTAAAGGAATATTCTAAACCCAGGGCTACTTTTTAGTACCATCTTCTTCCCTCATCGATGAGCCATGCATCTATAAGGCAGTATTTTGGACATCAGGATAAGGCCTTTTCAAAGCTGCTAAGTATCTAGTTATTGAAGTCAGAAAGATAGGAGAGACCGAATAAGATGTAACTTATCAACTTGTCAACCAAAACAGTCTCCACACAGAGTGTCAACAATGTGATGGCAAATGGGGGAAAAAAGATTTGGGACTAAGATCTAAGCTTTTCTAAGGTGTGTTAGAAAAAACCCCTTTTAAAAAGCTTCCATTCCTAACGAGCATGGAAACAGAGTCTTTGTTCATTATTTAAAGAGAAAAAGCATAAAGCTCTCAAGCTCAAATGATTTTCTTAAAACCAATCAAGATAAAATTTAGTCCTTTTCAAGCGCCAAGTGAACATATGTACCAATATGAAATTTCCCTAAGATTTTTTTTTTTAAATCCTCACCAAAGGACATGTTTTTATTGATTTTAAAAGAGAGAGTAAGGAAGGAAGAGAGAAACATTGATCGATCCCGCAACCTGGGCATGTGCCCTGACTGGGAATTGAACCCAAAACCTTTTGGTGAATGGAGATAACACTCCAACCAACCAAGCCACATCAGCCAGGGCGAAATTTCCCTAAGATTTTTTTTTTTTTTTTGTCAATATACACCTCCTAAGATCTGATATTCTTACATTAAGTGCTATTATTTTTTTTAAAAAAAATATATATATATATTCGTGTTCCAGATTGTTACAAATTCTATTGCCTATCTAGTGACCAGCTTATTCTAATTTTCAGGAAAAAGTATGTTAACTTGAGCCTTTCTTCATTTATAAAAAGGCAGTTTTCTTCCAAGTTAAGCCTATGGCAACGTCAACCAAATGTCTCCAGCAGGAAACAGTGCTTAAAACCATTACTCGGATTGTTCTCTTACAGCTATTCAAACTTTGTGATGTGATCACAAAAGCACATAATTGATAGTGTGGCAGACCAGATCTGCCGCTTCCACTCACTATCCCAATACTTCTTTGTAGCCTCATTCTGTCCACTGGAGGACAAAGGCCTCACCATGGAGCTGACAGAAAAGCTTAGCTGTTATTTTCAGTGCTTGTTTCCTTAAAACATTTTATTGCTCTAAACTGCTTGGGTAATAGACAAAAGGCTTTTGTAGACTGATGTCCAAAAACTCATTTGACACCAAATTTATTTCACCAGTAAGCCAGGCAGTGCTGGTTTCTTACTATAAAAGCACAGAGAACGTTATTTTTTCTTCCCACTCAAGAAATTTTGTCACCAATATTATGTCAACACTGCACCAATGGAAATTAAACAGTTAAATGACTCATTTAAATCGTGTCCCTCCCAAGTCATCCTTTTTTTAAAAACTCCATCCTTAACAAGCCACTACAATTTGACACACATTATCAATGGCTAACCATTAAAAAACCCCAAGCCAGCGGGTTGGCTATCCAACTTGCCATAAAAAAATAAAAATATGCTGGGAAAATGCACACAAATGCTAATATTTAGTAACCTGTCCAATCTTGAATAGATTTAGATCATAAACTCTCCAACTTCATACAATGACTGAACTCTAAGTAAAAGGATTAGCAAACAGACCTAAATCTTTTTGTCAAGTTAGGTCAGCTGCTTTGTCCAAGCAAGTTTTATGAGCTGTTCATCTCCTATACAGAAACAGAAAACTGATCCAATGGTCTCTCTCCATATACATTTCAAATAAATCCTCTCAGATTACAGGGGAGATTTTCATTTTATCACCTTGGATGTCAGCATGACACATTTTAAAGCTTGCTGTGACTAGCTTTAGCATACTATCCCTAGCAAGGGGAGACAGATAGGGACTGGAGAGAGGTGCCAAAAAAATAAGGCTGTCCCAAGCAGTGGACAGGCTATGGAGTTTCGATAGGACAACTTTTTAGGTAGCAAATGACTATCTGCTGCACTAGTAGAGCAACTGCTTTCCATTATTCCTTTGGGATTCAATGAGTCAGATCTTACTGCATCATTAGCATGTATAATGTCATTAACTCCAGAGATAGATCTTTGGCAAAGGTTTAAAAGACCACAAAAAGCATTTTTAATTTTAAAGAATTTTAATACAAACTTAATATAAACTATTTCAGTCCCTCTTAACATGTAAGACACTGACTCAAAATACTTTTATACCATTTTTTCAAGTATTGCACAATATAGGTACAAAATTAATATTTACGATTACATTTTCTTCCATAATATATAGCAAAAATCTTTAAACCTTTAACAGAAAATACATTTTTTGAAAAAGCAAATATTCGTACATTTTAATTCCACCACTAAAGGAATATCCTGTACACAATTTTTAGAATAGTTGATGTCTTTAAGATGGATATTTTACAATTTCAGTAAAAAAAATACAACATGAAGCTGCTGCTGTCACAGATCACTGTAGTAAAAAGATATAAATGCATACCATGTCGTAGAAACAATATATATATCCTCTGATATTTTACAAACTTTGTACTAAATTAAATTATACAATTAGAAAAGACCAATAAACCCACTTATTAGTGCCAATTTTTTATAAAAAGAAAAAAATCAGCCATGTCCTTGCTATATCTTAAATACTGTAAGAGGCCATACTGTATATCTGGGAGTATGCTTTAAAATATACAGTCAGTATAAAATAACTTTGTGCTTGGTTGGCAAATGAAAAATGATGCATGTTTTATTTTTGTAACCAAGCTTGAATGTATCTTTACTATACGCTTAAAAAAAAAAATCTCAAGGAGGTGAAAAAAAAAAACCCTCCTTGGGCCCAAGCATTTTAACTTGTACTTTTAACTTTTACGACATTTTTTTTCTTCTTTTTTTAGTTAGCCATAACTGGCTGGAATTGCTGGTTAGAATACTGCATGTTATTTAAGCTAAAATTCAAGCCATCTACAAAAGACTTCTCGTTGAGGCCTCCGTAGGCCGCAAACACGTCAAAGGCATTACTGTACTGAAGAGGACTGAGGTTAAGGGGGCTGTCACCTGGGAACATTCCGTTGGTACTACTACCTTGACCCTGCATATTAGGAAAAACAAATTCCTTGGCATTAGGAGAAAGAGCAGAGGTTTTCTGCTGTTGCTGCTGCTGCTGTGGTGGTGGTGGCGGCGGCTGGGAGGGCTGCTGTTGCTGCGGCTGCTGGCTACCCAGGCCAAGCCCATAGAGAGAGTGCATTGAGGAAGAGATGGCTTTCTGCTTCAAGAGGTCATTCACATTCAAGCCAAGGTTGATAGGAGAAGTACGTGCAACCTTGTTGCTCCGGCCACTATTCTTCATTTTGGTAGAGCCGAACTTGGTGGCAGCAAAAGTGGCAGTGGTAAAGGTTAAAGGCTGAGTGGACCGGGGCATGAAAGTCGGGCTGACAGCAGCAGAGTGACCAAAGGGAGGCGATGGAGAGCTGGACACTGACGAGGCTGGGTCACTGATGGGCATAAAAACCTGCGCCTCTGGGTTAAAGCTGTTTTTGATCTCCTTATCCAACTCACATCCGTTTTCATTATTGTCATCCACATAGAGCACCTTCACTGGTCCCTTCTCACCAATCTGGTAGGAAACCTCAAACGGGTCGATCCACACACTGAGATCCTGTGGCAGATTGCCACGCACGTCGTCAATGTCCAAACCGCTCTCCTTGGACGCTTGTTCAATCACGGGGTCCACCTTCTCCCCGATGTGTATACATCTAAACCCTGATCCTTTGTATGGCTTTTCAGGATACCAGTGCCCTTCATATTTCTTCTTAAGAAGTCTTTCAAGCTCTTCACCAAAAATGTTGACACGTCTCCTGGGTAGCTTATTGTACAAATACGAAATAATAAAATTTAGTGCTACTTGGATTTCAAGCTGCATAGCTGCTATGCCACAGTTAGATTTGTGTTTCAACTTCCCCCCACACACACCGGAGGAAAAAAAAAGTGTTCAGTTTGTGGCAGAGAAACAAATTTTCATTCAAAGTGCTGGTATAGTAGGTTATCCTTCACCTTGAGAGGTCTTGTTCCTTAAAGAAAACAAAACAAAAGCAAACATGTACAAATGAGCTAAATGTTAAGTCCCACAGCCTGTTTTTACCCCCGGAATAATGTCACTTTTGAAAAAGTCTAACAGGATAGAAAGTCTGAAAAATATAATCAGCACAAAATACAGGCCTATATAGTAGAAATTGTTTATTAAACTTCAAAATATCATGGGAAAACAGGATTTACAGTTAAAACAATATTTTAACCCTATATTTGTTTTTGAATAGAGTTCTAAGAATAAAAACATGTCCAGAATATGTAGCATATTCCTTCTTTTTCTTTCCTCAATTCACACAAGAATGTTTACTGAAAACTATACTCAGAATACCCATCCACCTACGCCAATTTTAGAAGTTGGTAGTATTCCTATTCACCAATTTAGAAGTGAATTCTGTGTTTCTGTTCATTTTGAATATGTACTGTAACTGCTTAAATCTCCTTTATTGTTAAACATTTAGAAATTTGAGAAGTTCGGAGGATTAATTTCCAAAGTACATTATGCTAAAATTAAAGGTACTATATACTAAATGAATTGCCATTTTAGCGACTGCTTCAAACCGAATTATCCTATACAGTTGAGGTCTTGCATATACTGAAGGGCACACAACTGAGCTTCTTCTTTGCCATATATATCTTTCTGAAAAATACCTCTTCGACAGCACATATAACAGAAGCAACAATTCATTTCAAAACTATTTATTAACCTGTCTAATGGGCTGGGTTTCTGAGTTTTATTCTGATTTTCAAAACCACCTCCCTGCCTCCCGATAAGAGAAACGCCGGGGAGTCCTGCCCGACCAGGTCGACCTTTAAACGTGTGCTGGATCAGCACTGGGTGGGGATAAGGAAAGATCAAGGGCAAACAGACGATGTCGCGAAGGAGCTCTGTGTGTACCCCGAGGCTGGTTTAAAGGGACGTTTAGAAACCAAGCCGGCATGCCCCCATCTGCCCAGGCACCATGTTCGTGGTGACAAAGGGAAAGGACTCTCTGGCTGCCCCCAAACTACACACGCTGTCCCCGCCAGAAGCCTGGGCGCCGCGGGGGCGGCCGATGACGCCTAATTGTTTGAAGGTGTGGACGAGCGCGATGCGGGCTCGCGGAAGGTGTTTGGAAGGAGCCTGGAGGCCGGACAATTACATAAACAGCCGGTCGGGTCTCATTAGATTGCAGCTCACAGCCCTCGGAACCCAGCGGCGGCCGGAGGAGGAGGAGGAGGAGGATGGGGAGGAGAAGGGTGGGGGAGGACGGCCACGAGAGATGGAAAGGCAGCCGGCAGC